GTTGTTGGAGGAAAAAAAAGAAACAAGAAGAGAGATTACAGCAGTTGTTGGAGGAAAAAAAGAAAAGAAACAAGAAGAAAGAGAAAAGAAACAAGAAGTGAGATTGCAGCAGTGGCAACTGGAACAAGAAAGTAAACAAGAAGTACAAATGGAAAAGCTTAGTAAATTTCAAAGTGAATTAAATATCTTAAAGTATGATTTACAAGGAGGATATATCATCCATGGACCTAATCAGCCTCAGACAATGGAAAGCCCCTTCCAGATCCCATAGCTAAACCCTAATGCAGACATCTTCAGTCCTGTAAGAAGTCACATTCCAGACATGAGTGTCAGGAATAGGGGTAATCTAGTACGAAGGAAGCCACAGGAATTCGATGGGAAGGCACCATGGGAAGCATATAGAGCACAATTTGAGCTCCTGGCAGAAATGAATGGATGAACAGAGAAGCAGAAAGCAGCGTATCTGGCAACAAGCTTGAAGGGACAACCATTGGAAATACTTGGACAGTTGTCAGCAGACGACAGGCACAACTATAGAGCACTGGTAGCTGCTCTACAACTCAGGTGTGAACTCAAAATCAGTCTGAAGTCTACAGGGCTAGGTTTAGGACGAGAGTTCATGCTAAAGGGGAGAGCCTGCAAGAGCTGGCACAGGATTTGGAAAGTAAGGCACACAAGGCCTACCCAACTGCACCACCCCATGTCCTCAAGCTGTTGCTGAGGGATCAGTTTGTAGACGCTTGAATAGTCCACAACTGAAGATACAAATAAAGCAAGCACACCTCTCTGTTATGCAGGATGCAATGGCCAGAGCTCTTCAATTCGAATTCTATGTTATGTCCAGCACATAGGTACCAAGATCGGTACAGTCATCAGGATTCAAGGCCAGAAAGGGGCAGCTTTGAGAGAGGTTGGAGGGACTTTGCTAGTACTGTAACAAACCTGGGCACAAGAGAGCTCAATGCCGGCAACTTCAACACAGGAAAGATGCCATGGCAGGAAAGGCTGTTACCCAAAAAGGTTATTGGAACTGTGGAGAGCAAGGACATATAGAGAGCCAGTGTAAGAAGAATACTACCAATAAGTCAGCCTCTGGGAGACCAGTAGTGGTTGGTGTTGAGGGATACCCACAAAACCCTTATTGTAGAAGTACAAGAATGAAGTAGTTCACAGATTAGCAAATTATAGCACGACATCCTTCCAATTCCAACAATAATCGAGTTAATGACAATAGTTGGAGATGACAACAATGACGTAATGTGTTCATAGTTATAATAACAACAATGACCCAGTTCATTCGTAGTTGTAGATGATAACAATGACACAGTTCGTTCGTAGGTATAAATGACAACAATGACCCAATTCGTTCGTAGTTAGAGATGACAACAATGATGCATTTTGTTCGTAGTTATAAATGACAGCAATGATGCATTTTGTTCGTAGTTATAGATAACAGCAATGATGCATTTCGTTCGTAGTTATAAATGACAGCAATGATGCATTTCGTTCGTAGTTATAGATAATATAACTACGAACGAAATGCATCATTGCTAAGATGACAGCAATGATGCATTTCGTTCGTAGTTATAAATGACAGCAATGATGCATTTCGTTCGTAGTTATAGATAACAATGACACAGTTCGTTCGTAGTTATAGATAACAACGACCCGGTTTGTTCGTAGTTATGGATGACAACAATGACGCACTTCATTTATGGTTGCACATAACAACCATGAAAGCATTTATTCATATTTTTAGGCGACAAAAACTAGGTATTGCTGACACAAGGTATACTTCGCAACAATGAAATTATTTTAAATATGTAAGTTTTGTGTATTGATGAGAAACTAAACTGTAGGACTTACGTACACAGTCATACACACATAAATATATATAGTAATAATAGAAAATTTACCTTCTTGTTGAGGTATCTCTTCTGAAGTCACTATATTTCAGAAAGGGCTTTTACCTGCATGAGTAGGTCAAATAATAATTATGTTCTGAGAAGACAGTATTCGCTTTGATTTACATTCTAGATGGGTTTTAGAAATTTAATAATGCTTGGAGACGGCTTGAATGGGTAATGAAGAAAAACTGTGATATAAGTTTAACATAACAGCAAATGTACAATGTTTCGACAAGGTTCTGTCATCATCAGGTACATTAAAAACCAATCTATCAGGTGGTTCCTAAGTTATATTATGTACGTTAGTTACCATGTCTCCATTTAAAAACCAATCTATCAGGTGGTTCCTAAGTTATATTATGTA